ACTACATTCTGTTGATTGTTTAAATCTGTTACCTAATATTTAACTTATAGGCCAAGCCCTATATCTAGATAAGCTAATATATTAAATGTATTATAGCAGCATGTTCATTGTCTTTCAATACATCATAAATTATTTACGGCTACTATAACATGTGATGCTTTGATTTTATAGGTAACAGTAATTAAGTAGCTATTTATTTCAATTAATTGATTCAAGGGTCAAGTATTTGACAGTTTAATTATATAAGGTGTGATTTTCTATGGTTAGAGTCCTCATTAAGGTAAAAATGACTCCAGGGGACAAATATAGCCTCTTATCAATTTTCTGACAATGTATTGAGCACAGGAGCAGTGTTTCTGTTTATCCATTTCTGTTTATCTCCCTCTATCCATGGGTTTACAACTTTTTCCAATTATGAATTTACCTAACATTTGTGCAACCATTCACATACTGCTGGTATTTTCTTTAGAAAATACAAATCTATTTTACTTTATATTAATAACTTTATTGTACTAAATTGATAGAGGATGAAAGACAATACGTTTAATATAATATAATATAATATAATATAGAGAGCGAGGGAGAGAAAGAGAGATGTCTGGCCGTAACTGGAGCGGTAACGGAACTGCTCGATTGTTCTCGTTAAATTCCTTTCCCCCGCGTTCTCGCGCATGCCAGCTCCCGTTCTTCAGGAGAAGAGACAGCCAGGGAGGCTGGCTGATGCGCTCGCCTTGCTGCCCCTTACGCATTGGCTGAACGGAGACCTCTGGTGTTTTTTAGCTTATATTTTTAGCAGCGGAGGTCGGACTCGTATTGCATCGCGTGTGGTAGAAAGTGCAGTAGTTCATCTGCAGTGCTGCTGAGCGCTGGAGAACCGCAGTGTGTTGCGCTGTGAACGCTCAAGCTCAGCATACTGAACGAGTCCGCTATTACGGCGAATGGTCTGAAGTAAACACGCAGGTCTGTCTGTTCGCGGAGCGCTGGATATCTCATCTAGGCTGTCTTGCTAAGACCTTTTTTTTTGTGTGGAAATGGCCAGTCCTGGAGACGATTCGGCTTCAAATGCCCATCTGGATCAAGCTGAATCTGCTGACGCTACCCCAGAACCAGCGTTTCAAGAGGCTCAAAAATGGATCGAGGTGAGTTAACCGTATACATGCTCACAGAGGTGGAAGTAAACATTTCTTTTTTTTTTTGCATCATTTTAATCTTTGTTTCGACACTCATATAAATAAAGAGGTTGCATTACGCTCTGAACAGCTTATAAATATTGCAGTCACCTGTTGTGAGTGCGTAGCGTGTTTGGTTACAACAGCGGGCAGTGGAGCCCAGCAGCGCGGGGATCATGTGCGCAGGATTCGGGGGCTGTAATCGGACTAGCACGGCTTTGATGGCTCACCGATTTTTTTCTCTCACATGACAGCCATCAGCCTATTTAAATTAGCTGCAGGATTTTACATGTAGGTCGCCTATCGAGTGGACGTTTGCAAACAAAACATTCATTTTGAAGACGTGCAAGAGAAACAGAAGTCTGCACAAATAGTCTGCGTGCGGACACGCCCCCTTTTGCTAAGAGATTCCAGTTGTTGTGGAAGCCAAGAGACACGCCCCCTTGTCCTTTACAGACCACGCCCCTCATCACTCATTCCTTTTTTACAGTCTATGGGTCAAACAGTTTGTTTTCACCGAGCATTTGTGGCCTATACAGTATTTATTTGGCCTTCGTTTTATTTGACCTGATTCACTGTAAAGTATAACATGTGAATGTAGGACTAGTCCATCCCCAGAGATGTTAAAGGTTTTAGGTCTTGGTATTAATATTATGACCTATTTTATGGGTGGTGTGGATTGGATAGGGAGAATCCAAACGTCACTGATCTAGATTTGAGGTTGAGTCTTGTGCATTAGATGGGGGTTTCAGTATTTTAGATGCCATGGACCCCAGATGTGATCATTCGTGTGTGAGGGACCCCCACTGTAAAGTCATCTATATCATTTATTGTATAAAGAACCAGTTTATGAAAAAAAAAACATTTATAAATATGTCTAAAATATAGTTTAGGAAATATTTAGTTTCTATTAAGTTATACCGTTTTTTCTGCTCATTATAGAACTGCGCTGTTTGATGTATTATTTACTCATTTCAATCTAATTTCTATTAGGTTATTTTAATTGTAATTTGTATACATTTTTATACCGTCTAGCACTTCCTTGTGGTCCTAAGTTTAAAAACCCCGACATTAGCCATCAGTAATGGCTTTTTCTTTTCTTTTTTTTGCAGAAAAAAATGGGACCATCAGTATTTCCTTATGATGGTATCGTTCTTCAAACTTTTACATAGCGACCCACATATAGACACTATTATTATATTGTTAATTAGTTAGGAATTGATGTGGTTTTTAGTGATTTCATAAATCCCACCTAAAGTATAGACCAGGTTGCCATGCCATAATCCATTCACACTTTTTCTGCATTACTATTTGTCCATTCTGTCTGTCTTTCTGCCCATGTGTTTCTCTGGTATGCCAGTAACACAGGCAGGAGCTCATGCATTTTAGGACGATCTGTATAAATAGACGGGCTGAAATAGCCTAGCACCCTGCTGCTCGCAAATAGTTTTAACTAAATTGGCACAGAGAGAGAGACATGCTTCTTCTGTCTCCTGCTAAAAATGTTTTTTCCTTAGTGAGTCATTGAAAGAGCTAGAACATTACAGACCAAAGCATATGGCGGACTGAAGCATGAACAGCAGACTACAAAGATACATGAAGCTCTCTTAAGACACATATAGATTGAGCTTCCCTGTAGTGGTCAGCTTAGATAGGGTTAATGTCAATATTTAGAAAGCAAGGTGATGGACAATATAATATTGAGATATTACATAATACAAGGATGAAACAAGAAACACACAATTGTAGAAAATAACACTACCCAATATTTCACAAAAAATATTTCATGAAATTTACAAAACAATGATCAGTGACACAAATAAGAATGTCAAAGATAAAGAAAATAAAATTGAAGGTAAAGAAAATGTAAGTTTAAAATGCAAGCAAATGTAATCTTTGCATATGGTTTATGGCTTTGCTAAACTTTTATACCCTTTCCAACAAAATGTTTAAATTGAATGACTCAAATGCCATGCAGTTAACCAGAAAGTAAAAAGTTATAAAAGTAAATTGAATTATTATTTTTTAATTATTTATATTTTATTGTTTTTGTGAAAGTTTTATCTATCTGTCTATCTATCTATCTGTCTATCTATCTATCTATTTGTCTATCTATCTATCTATCTATCTGTCTGTCTGTCGCAAATAATAAATAATTATTCATTTATATTATAAGAAAGGTGAACTGAATTATTATTATATATAATATATATATATTATTATATTTTTCAAGTTTAAAGTATTATTATTATCATAGATGATTAAATGTTTCTTCTTTCTTTTTTGGGGGGGGGGTTGTATCAGATGACATTTTACAACCTCTACTTATCTATTATTATTATTTACCTGGACAAGCAATCATGAGGGTCATCAGTGTGTTCCTCTATATAATATCATTTCCTGTTTTTTTTTTTTTTTGTGGTTGTATTATGTTACTTTGATTTGGTGTCTACATGTTTTTCTTCGTAATTTATAAATTTGTATAAAAAAATAAATTGACCTAACCATATATCGGTCTGTCACTTCATATCTGTATATTAGGATTGTTTTTAGACAGAGTATCATATGTTCAGTCTTTGTTTTAATAGTACCTCTCATAGGGCTCATAGGTGTGTGCTGGATGGGCCATGTGACATTGTATGGAAACTGTATGAGGAAACACTCCCAGTGCACCTGTCAGTGGTTAGAGACGGACAGCAGCAACCACATCGCATTACAGAAAGTCCTTCTCTGCCTTGGCCTATCATATTTCAAGAGCCCTAGAGTTCCTCTCCCATTGACTATCGGGTTTCAGAGCACTTCTCTCTTTCTCTGCCTGTTTCTTTCCATCCTACTTTTTGACCACCACTGTCATAGAGTCACCAAGGAGACCATATAGAACACGTCCCGCTGATTGCACATCAGCTTGTGCTCCACTTTGAGTGCATTTAGAGCATCTATCTGGCAAATCAAGCGTATGAGGTCAAGTGTGTGTGTGTGAGTGTAAGAGCTGGTACATTTGAGTACAGATGGCTCTGTCATATGACCTCATAAAGCCAGCTGTCACAGCTGTGCAGTCACATACGTATGGATTAAATGATACAGCTTACACAGTGACAGAGATTTGGGAGGCAGACACAGGCTGTCTACCAAATTCACATTCATTTAATACAGTCATTTAAGAACACAGGGACTCAAATCGCAGACTAAATATGTGCTCTCCATTATGCCATTGGCTATGGTTTGCTTTCAAGTATTCAGGGTGACCACCAAGACACACATTAAGCCAAATGACCTTCAGTCCAACTGTTTCTGTGACTAAGATCCACTCCAGTCTACTGTCAAAGCACTATTAGCAACATAAATTATGTCTCTTTTCATAAAGGAACTGTTCTGCCTATAGAAGATGACATTACTTTTATGACATTTCTTTTATAGTTACAGGGCTCCAGACAAAAAAATATGAGGGTGCCTTGGGCTCCTACAGTAAGGAGTGATTTTTTTGGTGGACAAAGCTTAGAATTTATCGATAGAAGTGGTTGCTTTGAAGTGCTTTAGGTTTTTGAATGCATAGCTTCTGCTTTGTGCTGTGATGAAGAGAAATTTTAATGTATACATTACTTTTCAAAAGTATTTAAAAAAAATAAATTAGTTATTTTATTTAGCAGAAGTGACAGTCAGATTTATGTTTCAAATAAATTGTTCTTTTTTTCTATTCATCAAAGATGTCAGACTGCACAAAAATATTAAGCATCTGTTTTCAACACTGGTAATAACAAGAAATGTTTCTTGAGCAATAAATCAGCATATTAGAATGATTTCTGAAGGATCATGTGGCACTGAAGACTGGAGTAATGGCTGCTTAAAAATGACAATGTCTAAAACACGGTGTGTTATTTTAATTTGTAAGCATATTTCACAATATTTCAGTTTTTGCTGTATTTTTCGTAAAATAAATGCAGCCTTGGTGAGCAGAAGAGACTTCTTTTAAATACACAAAAAAAATCTTACTGACCCCAAACTTTTAAACGGTAGTGTAGACTACAAAAATTAAACCCAAATCATGCATCATAGTAATGGTTTCCAGTTCATTTAGAATCAGAAATAACTGAAAAGTGATTTGTGGTTCAGTGAGGGAGTCAGTTGTAAATTCAGTAATTGTTTTAAACAATTCGCTGACTGAGAGTCTGATTTAAACCACAAAACGAGTTTTGTAAAAATTTTTGACTTTAATCTAAGTAAATCTGAACTGATTCATTAGAGTAATTTGTTTGTGAATCAGACATCACAGCTTGTGCTGTGTTTATTATTGTGTTCAGTGTGCACATGATATCTGACAAAACGATGATATATTTTAAATTGTCACGCATTTTTCATCTTTGACACATTTACAACCATTTTAGCCACAAATCTGGTATTTTGTGAGCATGTTGCGAACTTGTAAAAAGTGTTACCTCAAAGGATTGTTTCTAGTTTTGTCTCTGATTAGCTTTTGATGAAGACACATTAATCCAGCGCTCTCATTTTATACAACACAATTGTTCATGTTGTGCAAATGAGTCTTGTAGCTTGTGTAAAGAAATGCAATTCTTTCCAGCCTCAATATCTCTCCAGCTTCACCACCCACCCTTGAGAGCACACAAAATCCTGATGTATTTTGCAATCATTTAAAAGCAGTGTTATATAACACTGCTTTTACTCATCTTGGAATAGGTTTTCCTGGTCAAGGAATAATCTCCAAGAGTCCATGGAACGTTTAGCATAACTCCCATAATTCAATGCTGAACTTTATAAGGAGAGAAGGAGAGATATACAGTAGAAATAGTATGAATAGTATGCTATTCCAAATTCAGGCAACAGACAGTGTGTGTGGCTGTCTGTTTTTTGTGTGTGTGTGTGGTAGTTTTTGACCTCTGACCTCAGAAATGCCAAATGCAAATGCATTTTTTCTGTCAGGGTGGCTAATTTTGTCAGCGGTTGTATTGGTCGAG